CTCTCCCCTTCCCTCTTGCCCTTTAACATTTTTAATCTGCTTGCCAACAACATAGATAATGCTTCAGTTTCTTCTGACTTTCAGCTGATGCTGAATTCCCGCTTCCCCCCCATGATTTACATGAAAGAGAAGGAAAAATGGCTCATTTAAAATACTGAAAGGGAGAATTATTTACAACTCAAGAACAGTGGAAATAATTTCCCATATTCAGGCTCAGTCCTAGCACATCTTTTGTCTTTGATAAATAATAATAATCTCTCAAATTCAATCAATGGGAATATTGACATTGACTCTAATCTTCCACCCATCCTTCAATACCTGTAAATTAACACAGTTCTGGTTCTCACAATAACGATCATAAAATTGTGTTTTCATTATTTAAATTACCTATGTTGTTTGGTTTACAGCTTCTCATTTCAGTCAGTTTTGAATCACCAATATAAATAAAAATATACAGCAGTTTGGGGGAGAAAAACCATGCTGACTTGTAGGGAAGACAAAAGGTTCCAGAAAAAAAGAAGTTATAGACCAGAGACCCTGAGGGAGAGGAAAGGTAAAATGCAGTGTTAATAGAGGGGAAGGAAAGACAAAAATGTTAGATTCTCTGTCTTATTCTCTATTCTTTTTAAATGTTTCCTAACATGCTGTTTGCTTTTTTGACTGCTGCTGCATATTGAGTGGATGTTTTCATAGAACTATCCAGAATGATTCCAAGATCTCTCTCTTGAGTGATAATAGTTCATTTAGTCCTCATCATTTTGTAGGTATAGTTGGGATTATGTTTTCCAATATGAATTACTTTGCATTTCTCAACAGTAAAATTCATTTGCCATTTTGTTGTCCAATCACCTAGTTTTGTGAGATCCTTTGAAAGCTCTTCATAGTCTACTTTGATCTTCACTATCTGCAGGAGTTTAAAAATTCGCTGTGTTGCCTCACCACACGTAGGGAACCCCATCTTGGCAAAACCCTCCACTATGTTCTGTGCATTTCCCAGAGTCATTATCCTTTGTAGTACTAATTGCCTTGGCTATTTAGATTAGAGCGGTCCCCACTGTAGATTTGCCCACTCCAAACTGATTCCCAACTGACTGGTGGCTGTCTGGCATTGCAAGCATCCAGAGGGCTATTGCCACTTGCTTCTGAACTGTCAGAGCAGATATCATTGGTATTGCTGAGCTTCAGAGCAGGGAAAAGCAATTTGCAAAATTCCATGAAAGTGGCCTTATGTAAAAGTTTTGCAGCCCTTGCTTATCATCCCATAGCTGCATAAGTACGTGGTCCCACCTTTCTGTGCTTGTCTCACGGGACCAGAACCAACATTCCTCTCTATCTACAGAAGTGACAACCTCCAGCATCTTCCAAGTAGCTCCACTCCAGTGTTTTATACATGTCTGTTCATGCGCTCCTCTCATTCTTCCTTTCTCCGGAGGCTTCTGGCTAGGCTCCGGATGTACCACAGCATACGGCTGGATGTACCACAGCATACGGCGCAAGGTGTTTGCAATGCTTACCATAGCACTTTGCAGCTGAATGGGGTCCATGCTTGCCCTCCTATGGCATCTGCATGAATGACCAGGGAAAAAAGGATGCAAAAAGATTGTTTGCTTTTTCTTTCAAGCGGGGGAGAGGGAGGATTGCACCATCGGAGGCCGACAACATGTACCCATAATCACCCACTGCACTGTTTTTTGTACCACCAGGCACTGGAATGCAAGGGTATCAGGAATCATGGGCTAGCTACCCACAGTGCATTGCTATCGAAGTCGAGGGTAGCCATCCTATTGGAGACACATTAAGTTAAACTCTTATGCACAGTGGAGACATGCACCTTCAAATCAAGTGGTAAAAAGCTGACCTTAATAAATTAGACCTCATCTCATAGTGTAAACATGGCCTGAGTGTCTGTAGATACGACTGCTCACAGCTCCTGTTGGCTGCAGTTCACTGTTCCTGGCCATCGGGAAATGCAGAAAGTGGTGGTCTGGCCCACCCTACTTCCTGCAGTCCCATTGGCTGGAAACAGCAAACTGAAGCCAGAGAGAGCTGTGAGTGGTTGTGCTTGCAGATGCTCAGGTAATTAATGCATCTGGTGGTCTGCTTGGGGCTAACTCTGGTGAACCACGTCTGGCTTGTGGGTCACTTATTACCCAGCCCTGCTGTAGGCTTATCCAGAATCTGACCATGTTTACAGGCTGTTTGCTTGGCTTTCTTGCTCAGGCCCTGAGTCTCTCTTGTTTTGCGTATATCCTGCTGACCTTTGTCCAAAAGATACTCAACAAAACACCTCCAGCCAGTGAGTCTAAAACTTCCAGGTAGATTCATATTTTCACAACCCCTTTTTTTTCTCAGCTGAGGGTTTGTGATTCTTTTCATAGTTATCTTAACCGGGTGTGAGCATACCCTTCAATCTCAAAGATGCTGATGTAGTCAACAGTACCTCATAGCAAAACAATACATGTATGTAACTTAAGAACACGTGATGATGATTAGGCATCAGCCAATACTTAAACACTTTTATTTCACATAGAATAAAAAGGGGATTCTTTTGTGTTTCAGAGCAACTGTACAAGAACATACAAGCCACTTGCTCCAAACTGAGAAATATATGAAATAAAACATGAACAGTTTGTAACAAAATGATGTTTCTATTGTGAAAAGTAACCATGGCAGAAGACTAATATTCAATTACATGGCTAGAGCCTTTTATCATGTTCAAATTTTCCATAGAATAAAAAGGGGATTCTTTTGTGTTTCAGAGCAACTGTACAAGAACATACAAGCCACTTGCTCCAAACTGAGAAATATATGAAATAAAACATGAACAGTTTGTAACAAAATGATGTTTCTATTGTGAAAAGTAACCATGGCAGAAGACTAATATTCAATTACATGGCTAGAGCCTTTTATCATGTTCAAATTTTCATTTCTTTTCTTCTGAAAGTTAACAAAATTATCACAAATATATTCGTAGAATGTTACATCTCTCTTAGTATGCTGCCTTCTTCCAAACCATTAATGTTTTTTCTCTTTGTAAATGTGCAAGTATTAATTTGATTGAAAGGAAACGATTGGTGTCTCTAATGTGAAATTCCTGTTTTTCTTTTTTTCTGGAACAGTTTTGTGTCTAGTATTATACAGAGATCTATTCTTTTCTTGGCTGCATACACTCTCAACTGTTAAGATAGCATGGTGTCTGCTGACAATTTGAATGGATCCTGGCCAAAGTACATAGGTTGTCAGGCACTCATGGTTTTCAGTGGCAAGCCTGAATAACTCTGCAAATGTCATCTTCTCTACAGGAAGTCTTTCTGCGCCAGTACTAAAGTATTGGCATCACATGCCATCAAACATTTGATCACACCTGGATGTTGACAAATATTTGTCAAATAATAGTGGAGACAAAATTCAAGGGCAATTTTGGGTGCTTGCTAAAAGAGGTATTGCAGTAAGTGCATTCAAATGTCAATAACAGGACAATTCTCTAATAGATAATAAGATAAGAGGGAAAAGTAAAGCTGAGCAAAGTGAATTTGGATTTAACATGGACATTGTGTAATGACCTCAAGTTAGTAAAGATCAAAGGCACAAAATGACTAACCTACAGGAGGGTGTGTGTACAGTGCTCTTTTGTGAGAGCCTGAGGTAATGGAAAAGAAGCTCGTATATTTGAGTAACATCTGTTAAGGTTTACCTACACTAGAGCACTGCACTATGCTAAGGCTACATTTTAGGTTTACTAAGGATTACTCAGCCCATCTTCCCTGCAGATAGAAATACTGAGAGGGAGGCCTAATTGTGTGATGTTCTACCTTTGGGGTTGGATAAACTAGATCCTGTTGTTCAAGCCTTATAGAACTTATTAAAGTCCTAATTTAGGGGAAACTGAGGCAGGGATGCAATGATGGTGCTGCCCTGGGCTGCCAGGGGACTCTTCAGTGGTGAGGGCTCCCATTGCAACCAGCCTCCATTCTTTTTTTGTTGGCCACAGTCAGTGGCCATGTCTCTGCTCTGTTCTTTAGGATGTTCAGTATAATCTCACCTTGGTTTGGTGTGGAGACCTCTGTTTGACCAGGTGTTTTTCATTCTGTCAAAAGTGGTGTTTGCTTTTCCTAATCTCATGAACAGCATTCCTACTCACCTTCAGATGTCATCACACTCCCCAGCTGCATTACTCTTGTACCCATTTGATTTCTTTTCCTCCTCATTGTAGGTAGAAGTATTTTGTTGACAAAAGTGCTGGCAGACAGTGTTCATACACACTGACTTTTCCAACACAGCCTTGTTGCAGAAGCTGCATAGACATGCCCTTAGTAAAGCAATGTTTGCAGCAAAGCTGAGATCATGTCACTCATCTCCACTCTCCCATTTTATACCTTTTGTTGCTCATTTCTTCACCCAGTCTATTGCTAATGCCAGAAGGATTGGTGATAACACATACTCTTGTCTAACTACAGTCATAATATTGAACTACTCACCCAGCCCATCTTCCATCATATCAACTCTTTGGCTGTGTCTAGACTGGCAAGTTTTTCTGCAAAAGCAAGTGCTTTTGCGGAAAAACTTGCCACCTGTCTACACCGGCCGCTTGAATTTATGCAAGAACACTGACTTCCTACTGTCTGAAATCAGTGCTTCTTGCGGAAATACTATGCTGCTCCCATTCGGGCAAAAGTCCTTTTGCGCAAAGCTTTTGCGCAAAAGGGCCAGTGTAGACAGCTCAGATTTGTTTTGCGCAAAAAAGCCCCAATCGCGAAAATGGCGATCAGGGTTTTTTTGTGCAAAAACATGTCTAGATTGGCACGGACGGTTTTCTGCAAAAAGTGCTTTTGTGGAAGAGCATCCGTGCCAATCTAGACGCTCTTTTCCGCAAATGCTTTTAATGGAAATCTTTTCTGTTAAAAGCATTTGCGGAAAATCATGCCAGTCTAGACGTAGCCCTTATGTTAATCAGCAGTTATCCCCTAACTGCTAGCAATAATCAACAGGGTCTCCCTGTAGACATTATGCCATGGTTTCTTAAAGTTTATTAAGATAGGTTTTTTGCCAAAAAATAACTTTGCTGATGATTTATTGAAGAGTGAATTGCTGTTCTCAACATGATCTAATGGATGGAACCTAGCTTTTTCTTCTTGTAATGTTTTATCCACTGCCTTATTCATTCTATTCAGCATAACAGAGCCAGTACTTTCCCCTGCATTGATAGCAGCACAGTATCTCTCCAGTGCATGTACAGAGTAAGATCACCCTTTTCTACAATGATCCTGATATTCTAAGATAGGGCTACTCAACATGTGGCCCATTTGTTTGCGGCCCACGGTGCGGTTTGGGTTTACGTGGCACTCAACAGGTAGGAGCCAAAACAAAAAAGTAGTCAATATAATGGTATTCTGCTGATATGCGTTTAGTAGTTGGATTCCTGGACTGTCATTGCTCATGAAAAGTGCTGTCATGTGGATAGAAATCGGCGTAAATATTGCATTTTATTAATATCAGCAGAACTGACTTAAATGGGGCCTGTGTGTTCTGTAGTATTCTCTTAATCTTTGTATTCATGCCTGTCAGTGTGAAAGAAGCTATTTGCATATATTTTTGCATGTATATGTAACCACACTTAAGTGGAGGCCCTTGGCATGTGCTGTATCATTGTGGCCCCTGGGGCTTCCAAAGTTGAGCAGCCCTGTTCTAAGGAATGCAGTGCAGAACTCGCAACCCAGGGGAACGAGTGGTGCTAAGGTAGCTTTAAACCATCTTTGTGCCTTCTTGACCCAGGGCTGTTGTGGGAGATGGAGTGGCCCCTGACATAAATTAGGGACCTGTATTAAGTTATAACAGCCTCCCTGGCCTGCCTTGTGGATTGCACTGCTGCCTGGAATCTCCACAGTGTTTAGGGCTGCCAGATGGTTTTAACAAAAATACTGGACACACTTGACATGACATCACAATCTACATTACATGTTATTTAGAAAATACTGGACATTTATATTTTCTCAGTTATATTTTCTCAATTTGTTCCCTGAACAGAAAGCTCAAATACTGGATTGTCCGGTTCAAAACTGGACACCTGGCAACCCTAACAGTGTTGTAAGCTACAGCCCTGCCCTTGGTGCACATTTCCTGCTTCCAGCCCCATACCCAATGGCTGTGTCTACACTGGGCCACTTATTCCGGAAAATCAGCCGCTTTTCCGGAATAAGCTGCGAGCTGTCTACACTGGCCCTTGAATTTCCGGAAAAGCAACGATGCTCTACTGTACAAAATCAGCCGCTATTCCGGAAAAACTATTCTGCTCCCGCTCGGGCATAAGTCCTTATTCCGGAACACTGTTCCGGAAAAGGGCCAGTGTAGACAGCCCAGTAGTCTTTTCCGGAAAAGCTCGTCTACATTGGCCACAGACGCATTTCCGGAAAAACTGTATTCCGTTTTAAGCAGTTCCGGAAATTCATGCCAGTGTAGACACAGCCAACATGTCTCCTACACCAGGGCTTGCAAAGAATTTTTAGAAAGCATCTCAAGGAATTGGCCCCCAGGTGGATTAGAGATTTTTTAGAGCCCTACATGCTGCTTTGGCCCTTTTAAACAGTATTAAGAGACAGAGGCTGTCTTAGTGTCAAGAGTCCAACAGTATTGGACTTGGAGAGGCCACATTTTAAAAATGTGATTTTGAACCTTAAGTCTATCACTAGTAGAAGACTGATTATTGCCCATCTTGCGCTGTGAGCCTATGTAATTTTAGAAGAGAAATCCCACACTTTGGGGGAATGGAAACATCTTTTATTGCTCAGAACAGGGGAACGTTAGAATAAGTCCCATGAGGAGATTCATTTGTGGGAAGAGTGCAATTGAAATGAGTTGTATGATACGTGCAGTTTTTAAAAATATTGATTTTTACCATATGTTTGCCACATAAACAACATTATGATTCCCAGGGTACAGAGGAAAATACTTCCCAGAGATAGTCACAAAGACAAACATTCACAAAAATAAATGCTTACCACAAACCTAAGGACTAAAACTTCTAGGAAAAGGATTACATAAAATTCATCCTTAATTCCTTGAACTCAGTGTGTGAAACAGGCAAGCCTCTCCCTCCATCCTTTCTGTCTGTGCATACCTAGTAGGACAAGCAGCTAGTCCACACACAGGACAGACTAACACTTCATCCCCTCTACTTTCTGGTAAAACTGAGAGTTGATTCAATTTCTTTGTTGTTCCTTCTCTCATCCTTAAAATCATCATAATTTGCACTCCCACGAAAATGTCCATCTGCTCCCAGGATATGCCTGTATTCCCTAGTGTCTCCAAAAGTTGTTTATCCTTGCTTTATCTCAGTTGTTTTCTTTGTTGCATGCTAAATAGTCGTTTTCCTAGGTTCTGCTATAGAAATCCTCATGCCAAATGAGACCCTGATATAGCTCTTTTAAACAGCCATGCTTCCTCATATAAAAATACATATTTTCCAAAATGCTGCAAGTTTCCCTAGGATCCATTGGAGCAGCAATCTCTAGCTAAGTGTGTGGGGGGGAAGGTTGCTTTCTGTGCATGTTAATAAACAGAATTGAACTTGAGAAAACATCCTTCAATAACATCAGCTTTTAGTGCAAAATGTGTACCTGTTACTGCTGAGTTGCTCCACTCACTCTTGATATGTGTCCATTATTGTCATCCCATGGTTTTAATTTGATTCTCCAAGAACTTCCTGAACATAATTAAAGTGCCAGCTAGAGAGAGAGTCTTTCCCCACACACTGCTCAAATCTTGCCACAAACCTTATTAGTGTCAGATGAAACAGACGTGAATCTAGATTTGATCCTGCAGACAGGACCACTGATGCCCAGACAGGATCTAACTGCAGTGAATCTGTGTCACATGTATTACAGATTCAGTGCATTGAATGTATAAGAGACAGTTTTCTAGTCATGCAGTTTCTGATACTGCAGAACGTCTTTTTATTGTCTCATAATAGAAGGGCATACACATTCTTCAGCCAGAAATTATGTCACACTGCTTGGTGGTTGCATAGTAATGCTTTTTTTGCAGGAGTGACTTCCACAGACTTCTGAACTGTCACTTCCATCCCTTATGATTATCTCTTGCTTTGCTTTGAACGTTAGCGGAACAAAACCTTCGCTGTCTGCAGTGAGAACAATCCAAGAGGAACCTATAAAGAAAGTGAGCATTAAAGAAACCGAATGTACTAATGTCACGCAATATACACTTTGAAATATGTAATCCAAAACATTAGCCTTCCTTTTCCTTCTAATTAAAACTGTATTTGTACTAGAAACATTCATATCTGGCAATCCACCCTATGTGAAGCTTCCTCAATTGTAACATTAATAGAAGCCCAACTATACAAAGGACTCAGGCATTTTTTACTAACCCCACTCAGCAATAGTGAAAAACAAATTCGGTTTTTGTTAATGCATAATGTGTATGTTATGTCATATGCATGTGTATGTGTTAATGACCTTTAAGCACCCCCACTTTCCTCAAAACTTTTTTATCAGCTAACCTGTATTCCAATGCCACCTATTTGTAGTTGGCCATTTGTTCATTCCCTCCTCCCAAATAATGAAGGAATGACAAAATGTAAAATAAAGTACTAAGAAACTTCCATGCTATCTTGTTTTGGGAATACATAGAAACTTCCATCTCCAGGTCTTTCAGTCCAGCACTGGTCAGCAGCTGTAAATTCAGGTGATATGCAAAATTAAAAAATGAATTTGTACCTTCCCCACTCCTAATTATGATGTAAAGAGGTCTTAAAAGGATTCCATTTTTGTATGTCTGGTTTTTATTATTGCTTGATTTTTATCTTAGAAATATCAGGACTGTCAAGTCTTGTTCTTAGTGGGTTTGTGAGATGACTTGTTAGAGGTCTCAGAAGTGTGGATTTTGAGCTTTTGAGTCTCTGACGAGGATGTCTTTTCTCCCAAGTATTTTTTGGGTATTTGTATTAAATAGGTAATAACAAGAACAAGATTTTTAAACAGACTGGATAAAAATCACTTCCCTCTCAATTAATTATGTTTGATCATAAAATTATTTCTGATTTAATAAAACTACTAATTTTTCTACTGGATTTATGATACTTTTTTTACTTTTTTTTTCTATTTTTTTTAGACATGAGAAATTCTGAATTTCTAATGTTTAAAAAATAGCAGAAAAAGAAAAAGGGGGAAAAAAAGAAATAAAAAAATACCATTGAGACTTGCTTCATGCAGTAGATAGAAGCAGAAAAAATACATAACCATTTTCTTTATTTTGTAAGTCACCCTTTAAAATAAAGCAATATTTATTATGTATATTTACTTCTAGTGGGCCTTTTCCCAAATGGGCTACCTAATAGGTTATCCTGGGACATAACCTATACATATATAACAATCTGTATATCCTTTGTTATATTCAGGTGGACATTTAAGAAGAAAGAGCATTCACTGACATCAGTACCACCCTGGGATCCTCTGTATGCCATATTATTGATAATGTCTACTAAGTTCTGTAATTATGGAATAAAAGGATCTTGAATAACATCATTTAATATATAGGAAGATGGGCTATGTTTTATTGTGTATTTTGGTCATTCTTATACATTTTACTTTTCTATGCAAAATTTAAAAAAATATCGAAAAAGGATATGTAAGAATCCTAAAACCCTGTGCTTGGTTTTTTTTCCCACTTGCAATATTATGTGTTTAACAAAGGGAAATCTCCTTTCCTTATGCTATTATATAAGCACTTTCACAAGCTGCTACACTATTTCATGTTGTCATGTCACCTATAACGTCATAAGAAGATTGTCATTACCAACCATGAACCTTTAATCTTTTTCTGTGAAAACCTTCTTTCTAATTCTGGATAGACATTGGAGTCCATAAGCTAGAGGACTGTAAATGGAAATGGTGCCATGCAAACTGACACAACCTGCTTTATTAAATTTTGTGAATTTTTATCCCCGTTCTTTTGAAAGTTTGAAAAATCACAATTGAAATAAGTAATACTCGTATTATATTATATCCAACAAAATGGTTTGTTAGTGACAGAGTGCTGCAAAAAGTAGTGTTAAAATACTTTTTAACACTGCATAATTACCACAGATGACCTGCAAAAGACTGAGACTGCCAAATATGTGCTATTTCCAATGCTGTATTTGACAGTCTATATTTAGTGAGGGTAATGGCATTATGTGCCGGGTCTTAAAGAATTCAGGGCAAGACTAAGTTCATCCCTCATGTAATTCCATTCATTCCAGTGGGTTTGCATCAGGTATGAATTTGGCTCATTGTTGCAGATTAGCATTTTTAAATGTTCATTCTAAAGAACAGAAATATGGAAACTACTGCTGCAAACTAAGGACGGTTGTCAAAGTTGTCCATCTAATTATGTAGCATTAGAGCAGGGTTAGGCAAGAGAGCCTCCCTGGGCTGGATTCGGCCTGCCAAGCAGGTTGATGTGGCCCACAGATGCCCTGCCACTCCCCCGCCCCCAAGCCAAACAGGCGTGGGGACAGGGGAGTGCACAAAGTCTCCTCCCCCACCAAGGGGTGTGCAGCACTTAGAGTGAACTGCCAGCTGTGCTCTAAGGCTACGTCTACACTACAAGGTTTTTGTGCAAAATCAGCTGTTTTTGCGCAAAAACCGGTGGAGTAGCCATACCTCAAGCGCGTTTTTGCGCAAGAAGATTGACAGAACAGAGGTTTTTGCTGGTAGAGTTACTCCTCTCCCCACGAGGAATAACTCCTTTTTGCGTTACAGCTCTTGCGCAGAAAGGCAGGTGTGCATGCTCCGCAGGGAGTTTCTTGTGCAAGAAACCCCTATGGGAAAAAGCACAGGTGAATGGCCATCAGAGCTTTCTTGCGCAAGAGCATCCATGCAGTGTTGATGCTCTCTTGTGCAAAAGCACATTGCTTTTGCGATGTGCTTTGAGGTCTGGACGCGCTTTTGCACAAGACATTTTTGCGGAAGAACTCTTCCGCAAAAGGCTTCTTCCTCAAAAACCTTGCAGTGTATACGAAGCCAAAGTGTAACCACCGGCAGGTGGATTTGAACCTGGAACCTCAGTATAGGAGCCTCTACCCTTTGAGCTAAAAGCCAGCTGACTTTCAGCCCCTGTTGCTGTGGTCTATGTGCCACTGTGGGGGACAGTGAACCACACTAGGGCTACACCTACGCTGTGTCTAGACTGGCATGATTTTGCGGAAAGTTTTTCCGTTAAAAGTATTTCTGCAAAAGCGCGTCTAGATTGGCACGGATGCTTTTGCACAAAAAGTGCTTTTGCACTAAAGCATCTGTGGCCAGTCTAGATGCGATTTTGCGCAAGAAAGCCCCGATTGCCATTTTAGCCATCAGGGCTTTTTTGTGCAAAACAGTTCTTCCCTGTCTACACTGGCCCTCTTGCACAAGTATTCTTGCGCAAGAGGGCTTTTTCCCAAGCGGGAGCGTGAAAGTATTTGTGCAAGAAGCACTGATTTTGTACATTACAAAGTTAGTGCTCTTGCGCAAATTCAAGCGGCCAGTGTAGACAGCTGCCAAGTTTTTGTGCAAAAGCAACTGCTTTTGCGCAAAATCTTGCCAGTCTAGATGAACCCCTATACTGTAGCCTTCTTCCGGAAAAGCTTATGCAAATGAAGTGCGGAGTGGAATATCGCTGCGCTTCATTTGCATAATTAATTAGCAGCTGTTTTTGCGCAAGAGGCTTTTGTCCCGAAAAGAACTGTGTAGACGGCTCCTTTTTGCACAAAAAACCCCCTCTTGAGCAAGAGCTGTTCTTCCTGAAAAAATGAGGAAGAATGGCTCTTGGGCAAGAGGGGGTTTTGGTGCAAAAAGGAGCCGTCTACACAGCTCCTTTTTGCGCAAAAGCCTCTTGCGCAAAAATGGCTGCTAATTAATTATGCAAATGCAGCGTGACAATATTCCACTCCGTGCTTCATTTGCGTAAGCTTTTCTGGAAGAAGGCTACAGTGTAGACGCAGCTTAGGTGTGTGGGTTACAGAAGCACATTGCACCCCTTGCAGGGCGAGAGCAGGGAGCGAGAGACTTGGCGCACTCACCTGGCCCCAGGCTCTGATTGATGATTGTGAAGTCTCCTGCCAGTAGGGGCGCAGGTGCGTAGAGGGGGGCACCTCTCGGGGGAAGGGGCAAAGACTTCACGTGCTTTCCAACCCCAGGCCAATCAGGGTCTGTGGGTGAAGGAGCAAAGAAGTGTCATGGCCCCGCCCCTTCTGCCTGAGACCCCTCCCCTTCTGGGGCCACTGGGGCCACTTCAAAAATTTGTGAAGTGGCCCCCCTTCTAAAATTATTGCCCCTCCCTGCATTAGAGGATGGATGGGTCTGAGTAACATTTTTGTCAACTCTTTGGTGTATTTTTTGTATTTTGTTGCAAACTGAAAATCACCCACATTTGTGGTACAGTCTGCTCAGGTTCACACACAGGTCACTTGTGCCCAGTGCATCTCATGGTTTTGTGTCAAAAGTATGCAAAATGTTTGGACTCACAACAGAGCTGCCCGGGGGGAGGGGCAAGTGGGGCAATTTGTCCCAGGCCCCGGGCCCCGCAGGGGCCCCAATGAGAATGTCTGAAGTCTATAGTATTGCAACTTTTTTTTATGGAAGGGGCCCCCGAAATTACTTTGTCTCATGCCCCCTGAATCCACTGTCTCTCAGAGTTTCAATGCACATTTAGGTGAAACTCAGCAATTTTGACAGATTATACTTTGAGCTTTGCAGCTCATCTGAATCTCAAATTTAAAGGAAAACTTGGGGAGTACAAATCTCACGCTAGTAAGTTCTTCAATTGATTGATGAATGAATCACATAAATCCCTCTGCTCTGAAGCTGGCAAATTTTGCATGGCATGAGAGGGATTCTTAATTAACAATTCCTTTTTCTCTTTACAAACTGACTCCCTACATGAATTTCAGAGGGGTAGCCAAGTTTGTCTGTAACTGGAAAAACTTAAAAACCAACAAATAGTCTAGCAGCACCTTAAAGACTAACAAAACATGTCGATGGTATCATGAGCTTTCATGGGTACCCACAAAAACTAAGGTTTTTAACCTAGGATTTAAACCTAAGTTTCCCTTATCACAGCGGAGTGCCCTAACCATTCTGCTGCAGGGGCCAGGATTGCTTTTGCACTCCTGCATTTTGCACTTTTGCATTTTAGAAATGTTTCTAATTTTCATGGGACAGGAAAAATCATCTTCTACACTCTTCTCTAATTGAACATTTTTATTTGTTGGTAGCAGCTGGGTGGGGAGGTAGGAAGTTACTGTTCCGTGCCCCGGTAGGAGGGAAGCTACTCAAAGAGATCCCAGCTATAGACCAAGGCAAATCTTTGTAATATAATATGTAGAGCATATATTAAGACAAGCTACAGAAACCATTACAGAGGAAAGGGAAGGGGTGCTGACATCCACTGAACCATACTCTAAATCCTGGATATAATGGAAACTACTTTAAACCAAGATGTGCAGCAGCATCCCCAGATTTGGCACCTATCAGAGCAGGGGAGAAATATATTCCCTGCAGTAGCTGAGAAGCTGACAAAGGATTAGATAGTTCTGGGACCAAGGCGATGATTTTCTTGGCTCCTCTCCATCTTTACAAATATATCACTGGTGAGAGGTAAAGAGAGGAGTTCGGCAGATTAGAACACTGCTCTCCTGTGCTTAGTTTAGATAACACTAACCCCGAGAACTTCCAGACACAAAAGTTTAATATCCTAGAAGCCATTATTTCTCCCTCTGTAGCATCAGATATGTGATATGTTTGGGTATGTCTACACTGCATTCCTCTTTCGAGAGAGGAATGCAAATGCAGACAAACAAAATTGCAAATGAAGCACGGATTTGAATTTTCCATGCTTCATTTGCATAATCGCGGCTGGCTGCTTTTTCAAAATTTCCTATTTCGAGATAAAAAATGCTGTTTAGATGTGGTTATTTCGAGAAAAACCCCTTCTTTCGAAATAACCCTTAAACCTGGAGTAAGAGTTATTTCAAAAGAAGGGTTTTTTTCGAGATAAACGAATCTAGACAGAGTTTCTTTTTTCGAAATAGGGCATTTTGAAAAAGTGCCAGACGTGATTATGCAAATGAAGAGTGGGAAATTCAAATCTGCGCTTCATTTGCAGTTTCGTTTGTCTGCATTTGCACGCCTCTCTCGAAAGAGAAATGTAGTGTAGATACACATACAGAGAGACACAAAGTGTGTGAGTATAAAAGAGACACTGTGTGTGTCAGTGTGTCCTGATTATTTTCTCTGTCTCCCTCCACATGAGAATCTACCTGATTGCTCTGGTTTGGGCCAGGGCATATGATCACTTTTGTCTCTGCTCAACTCCACAAATAGCTCAAAGACATTTTTGCTGGTATCACACCCCATTGGCTACGTCTATACTGGCATGATTTTCCGGAAATGCTTTTAACGGAAAAGTTTTCCGTTAAAAGTATTTTCGGAAAAAGCGCGTCTAGATTGGTTCCGGAAAAGCACTTTTTGCAGAAAAGCGTCTGTGCCAATCTAGACGCACTTTTCTGCAAAAAAGAAATCTCTGCTGTCTACACTGGCCCTTTTCCGGAACAGTTTTCCGGAAAAGGACTTTTGCCCGAACGGGAGCAGCATAGTTTTTCCGGAAAAGCACTGATGATTTTACATTAGATCGTCAGTGCTTTTCTGGAAATTCAAGGGGCTAGGGTAGACAGCTGACAAGTTATTCCGGAAAAGCGGCTGATTTTCCGGAATAACTGGCCAGTGTAGACACGGCCATTCAGTTTACAATATTTATTATTTACAATTCTGGTTTCCACCACCCTTATACTTTGTACAGCCTTACACTTACTGCTGGAGGGAGTCATCAGCTCCAGCTGTAATCAGGGAAGAGCAATCTCTCCCTCATTATCTGTTTCCTTCCATTCCACTTCCTTCTGTATCACCTGCCTCGCTGCCTAATTAGTCTCTTTGTTCTCCCCAACCTATCAGTTAGGCACAGCTATTCCTAATGACATCTGCTATGGAGTAATTACTTAGTGATCAGAATGCTAGCTCAGGGTATGTCTACACTGCAGTTTTTTTCGGAAAAATGGCTGTTTTTCTGAAAAAATGTCACCTCCACACTGCAATCGTGTTCTTTCGAAAAAAAATGGAAAGAACAGAGGGGTTTTTCTGATATTGGTAAACCTTTTTCTACGAGGAAGAAGCCTTTCTCCGAAAGAGCTCTTTCGGAAAAAGGCATGTGTGGACAGGGAAGAGGGAGTTCTTTCGAAAGAAGAGGAAAGAGGAAAAAGTACAAATGCCCTGGTAGCCACTCCATCCATAGTAATCTCAGCTTAAATGTGAGCTAATGTCCATTCATTGTGGACGTTATCTTTCGAAAAAGCAGATCGCTTTTTCGATGCGCTTTTGCTGTGTGGACACTCTCTTTCGGAAGAAGTTTTCTTGGAAGATCTCTTCTGGAAAAGCTTCTTCTGAAAGAAGCCTGCAGTCTAGACACAGCCTCAGGTACTGTTGCCCAGCATTCTGCCACAGACAGCTGTGCAATCATCCCTAACATTTAAGTAATTTCAGGAGACATTTTGCCATGGGCGCTGGAACAATTTTTAAAGTGAGAATGCTGATGATGGATACCCTGTATTTGGTATTTGCTGTTACTACTTCAAGCTAGGGGGCGCAGCTGCACACTCAGCACCCCTACTTCTGGGACTATTACATTCTGCCTTGTTTCAGACAAGAAAAACAAGGGCTTGCTGGGAAAACGTCAGAATCCACATAGATGTTTTCAAATACAGCTTTCACATTAAAAATACCGTCTGTAACCCGGCCACCAAAAATTAACAGAACATACCATGTTTCATTTCAATAATGGGTAGATCAAAAAGCTGCTGGACTAAATTCAGGTGGATCTTGCTGTCACAAAGTAGAACAGTTCTTGTTTCTTCAGCAACAGCTCCATTTGAGAAATACTTCTTCAGATACACACCGGTAAAAGAAAAGGTTGGGTTAGAATACTAGCCACCTTGTACCTCAAGAATCAGGCTCCTTTGTCACTTTGGGGTTTCGTCTTCTCTCTACTCCCAACAATGTATCTGTATATTTCAGGTACTATGGTGCCAATATCTGAGGGTACGTCTACACTACAGCGCTAGTTCGAACTAACTTAGTTCGAATTAGTTAATTCGAACTAAGCTAGTTCGAACTAACGCATCTAGAACTAAAAACTAGTTCGAACTAGCGTTTTGCTAGTTCGAACTAGTAAGTCCACATTGAGTGGACTCTGAACAGGGCTTAAGGATGGCCGGAAGCAGTGCCGGCAGGGCATAAAAGGAGGACTTAGAGCATGGAGATACTGTCTCAGGCTAGCCGAGGGCTGCGCTTAAAGGGTCCCGACCCCCACCCCGGACACACAGTTCTAAGGGGTGCCCCGCTTGCAAAGAAGTTCTGGCTTGGAGTGCCCTGAGTGCCCACACTGGGCACATCACACCACTCGGCCATCAGCCCGGCTGCACTTGCCGCAGGCTGCCATCTGGGGAGAGGGAGTAATTGGGGGGCTGCAGGAGAGCTTCCACCCCCAGAAGCCCGCAGAGCCAGCCCAGTCCTCCCCATCGGGGGCTCGTACCCCATTCCTCCCTCACCTCCTTCCACTTACCCTTCCCTAGCCCCCCTTCTTATTGATGTACAAAATAAAGATAACGTTTCTTCCAACATTGACTCTGTCTTTATTGAAAAAAACTGGGGGAGACTGGGAAAAGGAGGTGGGAGAGGGGAAGAGAAAGGCTGGGAGAGGGGAGGGCAACTAACATGATCAGGGGTTGGGAACAGGTCCCAGATGAAGAGAGGCTACAGAGACTGGGACTGTTCAGCTTAGAAAAGAGGAGACGGAGGGGGGACAGGATAGAGGTCTCTAAAAGCAGGGGTTGGGTGGAGAGGGTGCATTCAGAAAAGTTCTTCATGAGTTCCCATAAAGAAGGACTAGAGGACACCAAAGGAAAGGAATGGGTAGCAGGCTTGAAACTAGTAAGAGAAAGTTGTTCTTGACAAAGCAAATAGTTAACCTGTGGAACTCCTTGCTGCAGGAGGCTGTGAAGGCTACAACTAGAACAGAGTTTAAAGGGAAGTGAGATCAAGTCATGGAGGTTGGGTCCATGGAGTCCTATTAGCCAGAGGGTAGGAGTGGTGTCCCTGCCCAAAGTTTGTGGAAGGCTGGAGAGGGATGGCACGAGACAAATGGCTTGATCACTGTCTTCGGTCCATCCCCTCCAGGGTCCCTAGGGTTGGCCGCTGTTGGCAGACAGGCTACTGGGCTAGATGGACCTTTGGTCTGACCCAGTACGGCCATTGTAAGCTCAGGGCTCAGGGTCGGGGGTCTCAGTGGACCCCCTTGATTTTCATGCACACCTGGTCCTGGGTGGCCAGGCTGGCAGCTCTCCTGCCCTAGACGGCCACTTTCCTGTGCCTAGTGCAGAGATCGTGGACAAGGTCCATTATGTCTGCACTAGCCCAGGAAGGTGCCCACTTCTTGCGGTCCTGGGCAAGCTCCCGGGAGCCGCCAGCCTGGGCCAGGCTTGCACCTGGCACGGGCACCGTAGCCAGCCCGTGCCCCTTTAAGGGGTCCGGGGCCGGGAGGGGGGCATAGAGTTTCCCTGGTGTTGGCCAGAGTGGCCACCAGGGAAACCTGGGAAGCCTTAGCCTCCCCCTAGTTCGAACTAAAGGGCTACACAGCCCTTAGTTCGAACTAGCTAGTTCGAACTAGGCGTTAGTCGGCTTGCACCTGGCACGGGCACCGTAGCCAGCCCGTGCCCCTTTAAGGGGTCCGGGGCCGGGAGGGGGGCATAGAGTTTCCCTGGTGTTGGCCAGAGTGGCCACCAGGGAAACCTGGGAAGCCTTAGCCTCCCCCTAGTTCGAACTAAAGGGCTACACAGCCCTTAGTTCGAACTAGCTAGTTCGAACTAGGCGTTAGTCCTCGTAAAATGAGGTTTACCTAGTTCGAACTAAGCGCTCCGCTAGTTCGATTCAAATTCGAACTAGCGGAGCGCTAGTGTAGCACCTATTAAAGTTAGTTCGAACTAACGTCCGTTAGTTCGAACTAACTTTGTAGTGTAGACATACCCTAACTGTGATATTCTAGGTATTGTCTCACTAGGGCCAATTAAAGAGCGGATTCATTTGGATCCCAGCTTCTTAGAGTCATGTCTGCATGCACAATTCAAAACTGCTCCAGCTTTTTTTATGCCATATTGACTTGCAAATGTAATGTAAGTCTATTGTTTTTTTCTGAGTGAATATCAGTCCAGTTTAAGTGAATATGATCACATCATCTACTAGAGCCATGGTGTCCAACATGCTAACCACTTGTGGCTGTTTGGCTGGTTGGGCGTGGCAAGTTTGTGCTTAAAAGCCTAATGCTACTACAACTAATAAGCAGTCGCCTTAATTCCAGTTGTACAGATGTGTGTTTATCAAACAGAGGTTCTTTGGTCACACATTTAGCCCCAATACAACCCATTTGCACAGCACTGGCAGAACAAAGGGACTGTAAAGCTACCCTAATCAGGCAGCTGAGGAATCTCTTGGGAAATTTAGTATAGCTTTCTAAAGAGGGAGGGGGCTAACTTGTACTGGGAGACAAACCAGCCAAACCAGGGAATGGGGTGTATAAAGATGGCATACAGCCAAGCTTGTCCTCTTTGGTGCTGTGCTGAGTGGAATTTAGCGGGACTAAGGACTGAGGCCACTAAGTTCTGTTCCTACTGATGATCCCATATTTGGGTCCAGATCCACAGAGATATTTACGCTCTACTTTGAATCTCACTTTATTTCCTGCTCTTATTTTCTATTTCTTTACAACCAATTTTTTCCCTCTGGCATCACTTGTGTTTGTAACTCCTCGCAATTTAACATAACCTTCTAATTTAATTAGTATGCAGTTGATCCCCTCTTCCTCCAACTTTTCCTTTTGTATATTCAACATGAAGCCAACTGCAGCTCTGTGACATTTTAGGACTGAAAGAAAAAACACCATCTACCCTAAATCTAATTTGGGTTCTGCTCTAGTTAGTGTTTACACTTTTGACATCAAGAATATCAAAGTATGCAAACTTCTTCTTAAATCAGTTCACAGCTGCAGCTTCTATTTCTGTACTTAGTAAGCTGTTCCACATGTTAATTAATCTTTGGCTTAAATAAATGTCTTCTAATCTCCTTTAGTGCTCAGTTCAATGCAAGCTCTCATGCTGCTTTTGACTCTGTACACATCTCAAAGAGTTTTGCTGCAGCCACGTGTTCTATACCAGGCAGTATCTTATGCTGCACCAATGTGTTCTTTATCTTGCAGCATTTTACATCCCTCCTAAATCAAGTGGTCTCTTCTTTCATGAAAGCACATTAAATCCTCCTGGTTTTCACGGAAACACACTGGGTTATAAATGCCATCACAGTACCTCTGAACTTATGTGAAATTACCATGATCCCATTTTATTTTAAATTATTCATGCAGACGAGTAGCTTAATTTTATTTAATTTTTATGGTTGCTCTAAGATGTCCTATTAGGATAAGACCTTATAGGGTAGGCACTGTAAAAATCTCTCTAAATTGTAACCCCTCCCCCCACAGATATCTGTATTCTTGTCTCCAAATAAAGTAAATAATTAGTAAATCTGAGTACTTTTAAATGCTTCACATAAATCTCCTTTCAGTCTTTTCCTTTCTGACATTAAACCACTGGTAATTTCAGTAATCGTTTGTTTGTAGCCATAATTTTTGAGACCTCCCGGGTCATCTTAGTTCCCCTCAAGTTCCTCCTTTTCTTTTTAGTTCAATTTATACACAAGGTTCAAGGAACTTAATTTTCAGCAATAATTGTAATGAGTGCCCATTAGACCTTTGCATTTGCACTCAAAAATTGATATTTGCAGATGCGGATCAGATATTTGTGCATAAAAGCAAAGTGATTTTCTTCTTATGAGCTTATATGACCCACTGCCACATTTTGCCCGGATACAGGTGGAAACAACAAAACTTTGTCTGATTTGGTCTTGCATCAATAATTTATAAACAATAATGAACCTGAGTTGAAAATTCTGACTGAAAGGTAAGCCTTCATAGAATTTGAGGGAGTTTGGATGTAGTTTCTTCATAGCAATTTCTTCATAGCAATTTATTTTTGTCAAGTCAAAAAGGATTGTGACAAATTCATCTCAGCTCCATCTCAATTGACTACAAATCAGTTGATTGTAATTAGTACAGTTATACTAGCGATGATTTTGGTGCATTATGTTTTTTCCTTAACACTGCCAGATCTTATTTTAACCTCTCTCAAAAAGTGAATCACAATTTTATATTATCAGAGGGGTAGCCGTGTTAGTCTGTAATAGAAAAAACTTAAAAAGCAACAAATAGTCCTGTAGCACCTTAGAGACCAACAAAAAATATAGATGGTGTCATAAGTTTTATAGTACAACCTACCCTTTATAAAGCCACAGCGACTGCCTTAGATCAGTCTGTTCCTGTCTAAGATCCTTTAGATGATTCTTACCCATAATTTTATATTTTTTTCCTTGTACAGACTTCAGAAATTCAGATCTTTAGGTTCACAGTTCTTTTCTTTACATTGCTTTTAAACATTAGTGTCACGTTAGTCTCCAGTGATCAGACCTTTCTGTTTATAAAGAGAAATTAATCTGTTACATTTTGTGTCTGTTGCCCAGAATTCTGTCTACCTCTGTTTTTAATTGCTCCAAGTTATTTCAGCCTCTTTTAATTTACCATTTAGTTTAAGTAACAATAATGCACCTTTTCTTTGAGGACCACATAATGGTTTACATACAGTAATTTGCGCAACCTTATAACATTCTTGAGAGGCAGTTGATTATTATTCCCATTTTATAAAAGATGAAACCACGGCACTAAGAAATTAGGTGATATACTGAAGCCCATACAAGTAATTTGTGGTAGTACAGGGAAAAGAAC